GACGATGAAGAGTGGCCCATTTACAGCGGTTTCAAAGAATAGTTAATGTGATATTAATGTGATATATTCACTATAGAAGAGGTACATGAAATAGATCACAGAACAGGAAGGGGGCGGTGGTTGTGTGTGTGTATGTGTGTGTGTGTGTGACTGAAGGATTCTGCTCACTGAAGGTTATCTCTGGAAGTGGGACAATGGGTGATTTTTTCCCCATTTGCATGTCCGTCATTTGGTATAATGAATGCTGCCTTTATAATAAGTTATTAGGAAATCATCCTCGTTGCCCACGGCTCTCACTTGCCTCTTCCCCCCCTTGTCGTCCAGGCTGTCTCAGGATCTTGATGGCGTGGTGATTGAGTTCCTCTTCCGCCAGAGCAAGATCAGTGAAGTCCTGGGGGGCAGTGGCTACAACTCAGACAGGCTCTCCCTGCCCTACATCCCTCAGCTGACAGGTATGGGCCCTGCTCAAGGCCTCCCAGGCCTGCCTCTGGCTTGTCATGGCCAGGCAAGGGCCTGAGTGTAAGGGACATCAGTCGCCTTCCATGGCCCCTTGGATGTCACACAAGAGCTGAAAGGCACAGTGGAGATCTACGGTGAGATCCTCTGGATTTCCCCACCTCCCCTCCTCAGTGCAGGGTCCTTAGAAGTAACTGGCCCACAAGATAGCCTGGCTTGCGGATGGGAGAGGCCCCACTGTGCCACACACGGGCTACAGAGACCCAGTTCTCTGTCACTGACTCCCAAGATGACTCCCGGCACCTCTGAGTGTCCATTTTCTTGACTGTAAAACAGGTATATTAACAGTCCTAGCCTTACAGGGTGGGTGTGAAAAGTACATAAAATAATGGAGGCAAATGCGCGTAGTAAATGCTACACAAATGACAGCCACTAGTGCTCTGAGCAGATGATGCTTGCACAAGTTGAGATATGCTTTCTGCCCATAAGAAGCTTCTTTGTGCTCATCAAGGATTTCGAAATCTTAGCCTTAAAGAGCAGAACCCACCATCCTAAAATGGGCAGAGAAGGCCCAGCCATAAAATCCAGCTGTAGACTCCACGTGCCCTGAGCCCTCAGAGGATGTGAACCAGGCAAAGGCAGAGGGCATGGGAGATGGTGCCAGGGGCAAGATCCTGGCTTGCTCCCCGATGGCTAGGAATCTCGCTTCTGGCTTCTCCTTTCCCAGATGAGGATCGCTTGTCCAAGAGGAAGAGCATTGGAGAAACCATTTCCCTGCAGGTGGAGGTGGAATCTAGGAACAGCCCTGAGAGGGAGGAGGTGAGTGTCTCCCCCAGACACTGCCCTGGTGAAGCCCGGCATCCCCGGGGGAGGGCACCTGCTCCTGCCTTCTATGCAGTCAAACACCCCATGCTCCAGGCCCCCCTAACTGCACAACACAGTTAAGGTTGCAGAGAAAGTAAATTTCTCAGGGAAGTCCAGTTTTCCTACTGTCATCCCGTAGACCACAGACATTTCCATGTGGAAGAAATGCTCTGTATCCACCTTCCTCCCTGCTGCACTCCCATGAGGATGTCATAAAAATCGCTCTTGAAAGACTTGTTGGTTGCCATTCGCCATTCACGGTGGAGACAAACATGCTCCATATTGGAAATCGGAAGGTTAATAGGAGAGATGAGGGCGAGGCACACCCATAAAGGTGCTCTTTTAAAGAGAAGGCTGCAGCTCAAACATCTCTCTCCCATCTTTTCTTGAGGGCTGTGAATATCTAGTCTCTGTCCAACTGAATATGTGCTATCTCCCCTGCCATTATTACTTCTCCCTCAGAAAATAAAGCAGATGTTCCCACGAGAAAGGGAGAATAAGGAATCGTAGTGGAAATTCCAAATGTACTTCTCAAATGGGAAAAAAATGGGGAGGGGACTTGGACAAGGGAGAAAGAAGTGAGGACTTGGACAAGGAGACTTGTGGAGTTTGGAGCAGGGACAGTTTCTACCCACTAGGGCTGGTGTGGCCACGGAGGACAGTATGGACACCTAGTCTTTCCCCAAGGAGCAAGGAGAACCCATTGGGCTTGAGATCAAGCCTCCCTGTCGCCATGCCCTCAACCTTCACTTACTGGGGGAGACCTCCAGTCCTGGGCTTTTCAGAGCTTATCTGGAACCTTCCCATGGAAGGAAGGAGGCTAATTGGAGAAGTGAAATGAGGTTGAACCAGGCCCTTCCAGCTCTACAAGACTGGGAATCTCAAAAATGTTAGAACCGCAGCATGAGTTGGATGCTCCTCCCCCACCCACATCCCTTAAGTCCTCAAAAATGTGATTCAGTTCTTGAAATTGACATTTGAGATTATATGGCCATCTGCAAATATAATCTCTTCTTGCTTCCAATATTTTCTGTTAGGTATCTGAAGATTTTTTTTTTTTAATTACACAGTGTTTTCCTCCCACTGGGCTTAATGGGACAAGCCAGGGGGAGGGGATAGTGGGTTCTTTTAGTCGAGACTCTAATGAGGGATTAGCCTCCCACCCCCATGTCATTACTCTTAGAGAGCTTTCGGAGACCCTGGTGAGAAGGTGGGTGTCCTGGGGGAGTTTCTGCCCATTGGGACATTCATTGAGAAGTGAAGGGGCTGCCAGGTAACTAAGGAAGCCAAGGCTGCCTCCTCTGATTCCTCCCCCCGCTCCACCTTTGTAACACTTGTCCCCTCTCCCTCAGCGAGTACCAGCAGAGGAGATCACCTATGAGACGCTAAAGAAGGCCATTGGTAAGTGGGAGGCCCCCAGGGAGTCTGTTGTAGGGGAGGGCAGAGCTGGGTCTTGGTTGCAAGCGAGTGGGTGTGTGCAGCCCCATCTGCTGTCTTCCCGAGGATGATTCAGCACAGACTTGAGGGCAGACAGTGTGGCTTCCTCTGAACTCATCCCAACTCCCAAAGCTGCAGTGGGAAGTCCTGCTCTGGTGAGGGATCAGTGTTGCCCTGTGCATCTTAGGTCAGACAACACGTTTTCTACTGACTGCTGCCTTTAAGGTAATCCACTGAGGGTTACAGCCAGTCAGGTAAAAAGCAGTTGTGTATAAAGACTTTGACTGTTTTTTGTTAGAATGTGATACAGAAGAACAAGTTGACCAATGAAATATATTAAGAACAAATCATATTAATATTTATTTAATAATGGCAACAGATTTCTAAAATATTTTTATTGATTTCAGAGAGGAAAGGAGAGGAAGAGAGAGAGAGAAACATCAGTGATGAGAGAGAATAATTGATTGGCTGCCTCTTGCATGCCCCCTACTGGGGATCAAGCCTGCAACCCGGGCATGTGCCCTGACCGGGAATCGAACTGTGACTTCCTAGTTCAGGGGTCCTCAAACTACGGCCCGCGGGCCACATGCAAATACAAATATTGTATTTGTTCCCATTTTGTTTTTTTACTTCAAAATAAGATATGTGCAGTGTGCATAGTTTAAAAAAAAACTATAAACAAATTCCTATAGTCCAGCCCTCCAACGGTCTGAGGGACAGTGAACTGGCCCCCTGTTTAAAAAGTTTGAGGACCCCTGTCTAGTTCATGGGTCCACACTCAACCACTGAGCGACACCAGCAGGCGGCAATAGATTTTAAAATGTAGTATTACATCTTCTGTCTGAAGTACTTCAAAAGAGAGAATTTTTCTGAATGCTGATGACAAATTTTGTCTTCAAATGCCAGACCTTTTTTATTTTTGTTGTCATTGATGGTACTCCTGAACGTACACACTCTGCCTTCTTAAACAGCGAATGATGGACATATTGGAAACCCCTCCCCTTTTTTCTCTAACTCATTTTGGATACCAAGAGGAATATGTACACACCTAAATAGCTTCATACCGCTCTGCCATAGGGGTTCTGGGCTGGCTTTTGTGGTCTGTCTGGCCTTTCCATTGTAGATGTCGCTTTTCAAATCCCCCCTAGAGTACTTCCTATTCCAGGAACTTCCCGTTAAGAGTCCTAGTGGCAGTGCAGTTATGTGAGGCTTTAAAAGCCCAGCTTCAGGGTCTGCCCAACTGGTTCTCAAACCCTTACACAAGGAAGGTCGCTGAGCCCTCAGGAAAGGTCTAGACCGGCTGGGGCCACGTGATGGCACCACACCCTCCAGGCCACTGCACCAGGCCCATCAGCAGAGGGGGAGCCAGAGCTGTGGTCGCAGACAGCGCTCCGGGAGGAGTCCACCCAGCTCCATGTCAGTGGGCAGGCCCTGTGGGCTGACCGCACTCTGTGCTGCAGTGGACAGTGTGGCGGTGGAGGAGCAGGAGCGCGAACGGCGGCGGCAGGTGGTGGAGAAGTTCCAGAAGGCGCCCTTCGAGGAGATCGCGGCTCACTGCGGGGCCCGGGTGAGTGAGGCACACAGGGCGAGCCCTCGGGGGCAATGGGTCCAGGGCCGGACGGGGTTGCTAGATCTTGGCACTTTAGTCACCCAGAGATTAGGGTTGCGATGCCAGCAGCACCCTGGCCCTACATTACTTCCCCATGAACCAAAAGACTTGGCTATTGGCCATCCAGGCCTCCAGACCTCGCACTTTTCATGTAAGAAAGAAGTCCTGACCTCAGGAGCTCCTGCATCAGACAGATAATAATATCATAATTATTATCATCATGGCAAGTGTGTACCTAGCGCTTTAGCTGTGAGGTGTGCCAAACATCTACATCTGTTAGTTTATTTCATTCCCATGACTACTCTGCGCGGTTGGTGCCAGTATGACCGTCACATTCCAGAGTGATGGGGAAGGAGCCCATGGGGAAGGAAAGATGGCCACTGTTTGCAGCAGGACCCTGCAGGCAGGGGGTGAACAGCGGGCCTGGGAAAGATCTGAGAGAGGGGGCCCCGGACAAGGGGAAAGAAGGGCTCGTGTCTACACTTAAGGGAGGGGCACAACATTTCTTGAGATTGATTTTCTATGCCAGGATTTGCTAGTCACAGTGTTCCTCTTAGTCACAATGAAATATACTTGTAAACATCCAAAAGTTACAAATAACCCATACTTGATTGTACTTTTTCCTCTCAATAAAAACACGTCTTTTTATTATACAATATATATTTCTAATATACATATATATTTCCAATTATTATAACTATATATAATAATATATAAATACACGTAAGTATAATGTCGATTGGGGGGCCTATATTATCCTGACCTCTTGTCCCATCTCAAGAGGTAGATGCTGCTCATTTCATGAGCTCGGAGTTGAGGCCCAGGTACAGAACACGTGCCCAGCTCCCTCACGCAATCGGAGCCAGAAGGGACCAGAGGGCGCATCTTCCCTAAACCACCAGTTTTGCACAACTGCTTCTTTGGAGTTCAGAGCTGGCAGCAGCTCTCAGCCTCCTGACTCATGCCCAGCAGGCGCTACCGTCCCACTTGGAGGAGCTAAGGGTCCTTCAAGAAGCGCCTGCTGACGTCCTCCTGGTGCTCCTGGTCTCTGTGCTGCCCCAGCAGGCCGTGGCGGGCGGCTCTGCCTGACCTGAACCCACAGCCCGGGTCCACAGACAAGTGCTGGGAACGAGCTCTCACCATTCCCTTCCTGAGGCTGCACTGCCCAGACCTCCAGTGTGCGCTCTGGAGGGGTGGGCTCATGACCACCTGCAGTGGTGTGGGAACCCCAGCTGACTCCCCCTCTGTTTGTGTCTAGGCGTCACTGCTGCAGAGCAAACTCAATCAGATCTTTGAAATCACCATCCGGTAAGTGGCAGCCCTGGCCCTGGGACCCCTACCTCTGTGGCCCAGCGTTGGGCGCCCTCCCCGGGCTTCCTCTCACTGTCTTCAGTCCTCCTCTCCCCAGGCTCTGTCTCTAGGCCTGGAGTCAGCCACCAACTCTCCCCAAAAAGGAAGTTGAGACTAGAGAGGACAAGAGACGGCTCAGTGAACCCCGGAAAAGGGTCAGGGTCCTTGTTTCCCAGGCTGAGACTTGACTTTCTAAAGCAACATTGTCACTGTAGAGCCTGCCATGGAGCTGTAGATTCTAGAACAACTTGAAACCTGGGAACCCACAGAGTGACAAAGGCTCTGGTCCCGGTTCAAAGAGAAACACAAATCAGCTGCTCTATTTGGTTGCACGGGGTGGGACCCGCTCCTCATCCCTTTCTCCTCCATGTGCTCCTGCCCAGGCCCCCGCCCAGCCCATCGGGAACCATCACCGCAGCCTACGGCCAGCCTCAGAACCACTCCATCCCCGTCTACGAGATGAAGTTTCCAGACCTGTGTGTATACTGAATTCCAAGAGGTGGAGCTGCTGGGAGGGGTGGGCCTGAGGGAGGGGCTCACCCTCACACCCCACCCCTACTACGTGCAAGTCTAACAGGGATCTCAGAAAAGGTCACCTACCCCCCTAAACAAGGTAGAGCCCCAGACCCTCCCACTTCCCCTGTGTCTCCCCTGAGGGGTTGGCTACCTGCCCCTCTAGGACCAATAAGCCTATCAACTGTTCCCTTTAGTCTCCTTTGTGTCAGCGAGGGGCCAAGAATGGGGGGGTCTGAGGTCCTGCAGCTCCTGCAGCTCCTGCGTGGTGTGGTGGTGCAGCAAGTGAAAGGCTTTTATGGTGGGGGTGGGAGGGGGCACAGCTGCCATCCCCTGAGGCAGGGACTGGATGGAGACACCTGTTGGTCCAAGGACGCTGTAGACAGCAATCTAGAGAAAGCCAGGGGAGAGCTGGAAGCTGGGGGGCCGTTCTCCTCAGAGCACCCCCGCTCCGTCCCGAGGCCCCCAGGTCTCCTGCATCTCTTCCACTCCCCCTCTCGCCCTGCCAGCTGCTCTTAGTGATTCTTTCTATTATTAATGGATGTTGAGCCTTTATAACAGGAGCTGGGGAGAGACACATGGGAGGGGGGCAGCAAAGGATGACATGAAGGGCAGGTGGCTGCTGGTGGAGGGGCCTGCCTCTCTCTCCCCACCCAGGCGGAGCAGGCAGAAGTGGGCACGTCCCTATTCTCACCTCCTTGGTTCTCTCCCTTCTGGATGTTTCTCCAAGTTGAGCTCTCTCTCTTTAACACCTTTCTTCCTGTGGAGCCCCATGTGTTTCTACAGCCTCTGGGTTGAGGGAGGGCAGGACCAGATAATCTGGTTCTAGGTGACTTGAGAGAGGAGCAACTGCAGGGCCAGGCCTGCCCACAGCACCTCCTGGGGAAGAGGTTCCTGGCCTGGCTGGGCTGGGGGGCGGGGTGGAGGTGGTGGGGGGGGGGCGGGCACTGGGAAGGGATGGAAAGTGGGGGGAGCACTTTGGGACTCAAAGATGTCAGAAGTCAACGAACGTTGTGGATGTTTCGTTGGAGGAAAGAAGGATCCAGCACCTGATACTGGAATGACTTTTTTCACTCTTTGGACAAAGTCTGGACCTCAGTTCCACCTGGCCAAGCTTGAGGCTTGGGGAGAGCGGTGGAGACCCCTTTGGGTTCTGCATTTCCCCTGAGTCCTGTCAGCCTGTCTGTGTGCAGAGGAGGAGCCAGGAGTCTGTTTGCTGTGCATTCCCTTCCCCTTTCTCATCCCCCCCCCCCAAGCCTCTGGGAGGACGTCCCCTGGGGCCCCAGATAGCTCTTCTCTTCCAGTGGAACTTCCCATAACTGTTCTGAGCTGATGTAACTCACAGTAAGGTGTGAACGGCCCAATGATTTCTTCTCTTGAGAATTCATTTTTCCTTTTAAAGAGGGTGAATAGATTCCTCGGACCCAAAGGGATCCCTTTCAGGGTACAGTTTTAGGCAGTGTGGGGTGGGGTCGGAAGCAGACACCCTGGGGTCACACCTCTGCATGACCCTGTGCAGTGAGAGCCTGATGACCAGCCCAGACAGGTGTATTTCCTCAAATCGGGAGAACCGTAACAAATGCACTGCCCATTCCGTGTGCAGCCTTCTCTGGGAGGGGGCTTTCTGACCCTGTTCTTGTCGTTTCCCCCTGGGGCCTGCAGCTTCCGGGTGGCCTGCATGATTCCAGGGCCCCAGCCGGCCCCGCTTCTGGCCACGTGGCTTCTGGCTAATGCTCAGCCCAACTTTACAAGCATGAACTGAGATTCCTCCTCACTCTAATTAATCTCTTTATTAAGAAACCACGTTTCAAATAACTTGAAACAAACCTGAAGGCAAATAACTTTGGGGAGAAACTTCACAGGAAATCCAAATCTTTGTTTTTAATACATATTTTTATTGATTTCAGAGAAGAAGGGAGAGGGAGGGAGAGATAGAAACATCAATGATGAGAGAGAATCATTGGTCAGCTGCCTCCTGCACACTCCCCACTAGAGGGTTGAGCCTGCCACCCAGCATGTGCCCTGACTGGGAATCGAACCTGTGACCTCTTGGTTCCTGGGTTGATGCTCCACCGCTGAGCCACATCGGCCGGGCAGGAAATCTAAGTCTGGAGCCACAAACCTGTCTTCCCATCGTATCCCCTGCTCGGCTTTGATGAGGAACCATCTTTCTTTCTTGTGCCTCCTTGACTTTAGGGTCCACCCTCAGGGCAACTGCACCCTGAGCACTGCCCTTGGTCCCTGGTCCTGGGATGTGGGAGGCAGGGCCCTGGAGCCTCTTTCTAGAGCTAGCACTAGGGCCAGAGACCTGCAGGGCCCCTCAGACGTCCCCCTGTCCCTCCCCAGCCCTCCCTGGGAACAGGGTGCAGAAGAAGGTGCAAGCTTCCCATTCTTCACACACTCAGCTGCTCCTTCCTCTTCTCTGTCCGAAGCAGCCCTTGCTTTCCGTCACGGCTGCATAGCAAAGACGTGATTCTTTTAGAGAACTGGCTGTGTTTTTGAGTGCCGTCTTCCCAGATTCAATTTCAACTTACACTCAGTAGGATATGAGGTTGCCTGCTGCCAGGAGGTAGAACCTGGATTCTGGCCAGGTATGCCTTGGAGTCAGAAAGTTTAAGGTGAGTGTTGACTCAGACAGACCATGAAACGATAAATTAAGCAGTCCTCCTTCACCCCTACCCATGTGCCCCTCCCTCCACAAATCCTGGGAATGGATGCCAAGCAGTTTGGTGGGCGCCCAGGCCCTGGGCCTAGCATCCATCACTGCTTCCTGCCTTCCGAGCCCCGTAGCGTCTAACAGCACTGTGTCTTGTGACCAACCCTTTCTGCCACCCTTGTCTATTGTGATTTTGAGCCAGCTGCTCCCCAAAGTCGCTGAGGACTCTTGCCTCCTGGGCAAGCAGTCAGTTTGGTTAGCACTCTGCAGACATAACTTAATGGGCAGGAATATATTTGACATTTGAAAGTTCTGTTCGTTTAGTTGAGTCATGTCCAGGCATAAGCAGCAGGTCAGCAGGAAGCACCCATGTGATCCTGGAGGCTCCTCCTGTCTTCCTTGCAGTGGGGTCCCCAGTGCCTGTCTTCATCTTCCTCCCCCGGAAAGAAGAAATAAGTGGTTTCTTGACTCCTAAATGCCTCCTCTCCGGAGAAGGAACCCAAGGAGGGAAGAAGAAGCACTAGAAACCTCCCCAGATACTCCTCTCTGTAGCCCTTCACCTCATCAGACACAAGTATAAACAGATGAGCAGTGAAAAGGTGGGGCGGGGACCGACTAAAGTGCTTGAAGAAGCGTGACAGCACATATGCGCTGCCCTTTGCCCTAGATCAGTGGTTCCCAAACTTATTTGGCCTACCACCCCCTTTCCAGAAAAAACATTACTCAGCGCCCCCTGGAAATTAATTTTTTTTAATTTTAATAGCAATTAAACAGAAAGATATATGTATTAATGTTTCTACCTTTTTCGTAAAATATAGTAAAGAAAGGTGTAAATTAGAAACATTGAAGTTTGAAATTATGAAACTATTTATTGAACTCAGAATAGAAAGGTAATACAAAAAAAGTTAAAACAAATGCACCTGTGGCCATCACCACCCCCCTGGATCGCTGCAGCGCCCACCAGGGGGCGGTAGCGCCCACTTTGGGAATCACTGCCCTAGATGTTCTGGGTCCCAGAGAACATGTTTCAACTGGTTTAAGAATTAGAACAGCCTTGGGGTACCTTTAAGTGGCTCAAAGGCTAGACCTCTGGGCTTCCCTGGGGTCTTCTGGATCATGATACCTTCCAGTTGCTATTTCATTGTCCCCAGTCCTTCTGACCTGGGTACAGAGAGTGTCATTGAGAAGTGAGGCTATTTCTCCCAATTCCTCTTCATAACCATGAAATGGCATTACACTGGCTGAGCGCCTGTGGGAAAGGACAAGACCTGAGCTGTTACCTGAATATTAAGATTGAAGGTAGCCCTAGCCGGTTCGGCTCAGTAGATAGAGTGTGGGACTGTGGACTGAAGGGTCCCAAGTTTGATTCTGGTCAAGGGCACATGTCCAGGTTGCAGGCTTGATCCCCAGTAGTGGGTTTGCAGGAGGCAGCCGATCAATGATTCTCTCTCATCATTGATGTTTCTAACTCCCTCTCCCTTCCTCTCTGAAATCAATATATAATTTTTTAAAAAAGATTGAAGGTAGACAAGGAGATCAGTTCATTTGGGCAGGCCACACCCACTTCCCTCACCCATAGGCCTGGCAGGAGGTTGTGCTGAAACAAGACATTGTCCTCACATCTGGGGCAGTGTGTTGCTTCTTCGTCCTATTCACCTTAGAAAGCTAACCACATCTGAAGACTGGAGAGGATGGTCAATATGGGCCTGGCCAGCTGGGGAAGTGGGGAAAAGACACAGGGGCAGTGGCTGGGGCCCTGGGGGCTGTTGGGGTCAGAAGGCAGATTTCCAGGCTCTCTTTTAGCACCAGCCAGGTTGACCAGCACTCTCGTCCTCCTGGAGACCTTAGGGCCTCATCATCTTCCCGTTTTGAGCTCTTCCTCCATGACTGTTGATTCTGGCCTGTGGGGTGCAGAGCTGTAACTCCACAAATGCTGCAGCCCACACATTATAACATGTCTGTGTCCATTTAGAACTTCATGACCCAGCTGAAAGTGTGTGTGCCCATCTGTGTGCATGTGTGTGTAATGTAGTTCCCAGTAGACGATATATGTATATAATAGCTGATGTATTTATATGGAAGTGCAGAATTAGTGCCTGTGGCAGTTTTCTGTATTTTAAACTCATTGAGTCAAATTAGTTTTAAGGAAGGGAAAAGAGGAGGGGGGTGGGCGGGGAGTGTAGGAAGAAGGACTCTTAGCAAGATTCTTCTTTGGGACTTTAGGACTATTAGTTGTGACTTCCCAATGAGCCTTTATGATGCCCTTTTCAAATAAATGTTAATGTTGTCACCTCTTTGATTTCTTTAAAGTAAATGGTTTTTTGAGATGCAAACAGGATCTGAAAATACCAACATTAACCACTAACATTTAGCCACCACCACCTGCCATTACTTCCCTTGCTTGAAAAGGAAAGAGCATAGGGGAGAAGGATGCTACCAAGATGTAAACATGAGGATTCCCAGCATGGGAGCATCCCCTGATGGGAAGGTGTGGGCCATTTCTTCATTATAGTGGGCAAGACTTTATCTTCGCAATCTGGCTTTCTGATTCCTCTTACATTAGGGCATTCCGGTTTGCTTTCATTGTGAACTCCTAGATCATCAACATAATATGTGTAAGTGCCATACACAAACGTTTCCCAGCCACTTTGATCTATACCACCCACTGGTATGTCTAATGCAGTTGACATGTATGCATACGTCTGTGTGTGTGTGTGTGTGTGTGTGTGTGTGTCAGTATCTGTGAGCCTCTTGTGAATTGGAAATGTGTTTGGCCCCAGCATTGTGCAGACATCATGGGGACATATAAAAGAAACCCAGCCCATGACCTCTGCGCTAGTGGAAGTTGGGTTTCCCTGAGAAGAGCACAAGACATACATACAGCAAGAAAATTGCCATCCAAGCCAGACTGCATGCCCTCCACTGAAGAGGGCTGACTGCAGAAACACTGAAAATGAGCAGGTGTGGCTGGAAGAGATCACAACTTTCCCAGTGGAAGTGGACTTGAGCCTGGGCTCATGCTGAAAACGGGGTAACACTCAAAGTGGTGGGAGAAGATGGGGAATTTCAAGTAGAGGCTGAAGGAGGATGGGAGGAGAGAGGTACCAGTAGGTTGGAACATGGGAAGTAGGGTTCAGTAAGGAATGTGAATTTCATTGACAAGGGCCCAGCATGCCATGCCCTGTAGTTTGGAATTGATGGAAAATTGGAGTGGGACTTTTTTTTTTTTTTAGCTCTTGAGCCAATGAATGAAGATTTTGTATACATTACTATGAAGAATTTGTATCTGATGGGTTGGGAGGAGAGCAACTGGAGACAAGGAGAAGTTGGTTGGAAGCTGTTACAGTAGTGTAGGCCGGAGCACAGAATGATGAGAAGGGTTTGGGTTGGGCAACATCATGGGGAGAGAATGTGGACATAGCTGGGGGGAAAGAACGAGATCCCAAGGCTTGAGCCCGTGGGACTGGAATAAGTATCCGTGTATATTGCATTGTATTTATACAGATGTGTCTCCGTGGGTGCGTGCCTGGGTGGGTGAGACCATGTGTTTGAGAATGTATCTCAGTGTGCACATTTTAACTGATACCAACCATCAGCACTCACACTTAGCTTCTCAGTGATAAAAAGATAATCACATTCATTTCTTAATCTGCACAATAGCCCTCACACTAGGGAGGGAGGGGAAGAGGAACTCAATCCTGGCGTTCAGAGACTTGCCTAAGGTCGCACAGGTAGCTGGATCCAGGGGACATTACCACAGCCTCCCACCTGACAGCCCGGAGAGCCCTTCCCCTGCCCTTGAGGTTCAGTGTCGGCCTGGCCCTTGGACAGGTGCCAGCGTTACTCTTGTAGGGTCACTTCTGTAGGAATCCTGCCTTTGGGTGCACCTTCTAGCTGAGCAATTTTCCCACCCAACGAAGGGTGGCAAATGTAACCACCCTGAGCCATCCCCTCAACTACCTGGCCCCTTGTGGACACATTGACTGAGGGGACAGGAAAGTACATTTCCTTTCCATGGCCACTCTGCCTGTGAGTATACTGCCGCTGGGTTACATGGAAATCTTCCCGCCTCTCCTCCACTGTGTGCTCCTCTTTATTTGATGGATATGTGATATATATATGAACACATAAAAATATATATATCACAAATGTTTAAGACTATATATATATATATATATATATATAATCTTAAACATTTTTATTGATTTCAGAGAGGAAGAGAGAGGGAGAGAGAGAGAAACATCAATGATGAGAGAGAATCACTGATCAGCTGCCTCCTGCACGTCCCCTACGGGGATGGAGCCCGCAAACCCGGGCATGTGTTCCCGACGGGAATCGAACCCAGGACCTTTCAGTCGGCACCCGCCAGGGCTGGATGTGTTATTTCATTCACTCGGTCACCATTCACAGGCAGAGGCAGATGTGCAACTTGCAAGGCTTTATTTCCTAACTACAGGCAGCTTTAACAGGCCGGTGCCGCGCCCACCGCCGGAGCCCGGAGCCCGGAGCCCGGAGCCCGGAGCCCGGAGCCCGGACAGGCTGGAGGCCCCGGCCCGCGAGAGGGGGCTCAGGGGCCGCCTTCCGGGGAGAGGCCCGGCCCCGCGGCGCCCTCACTGGCCCTTCCGGTGGGCGTTCTTGATGATGGCGTTTTTGAACAGCGTCACCAGGGGCGTCTGGCTCTTCTCCGAGGTCATGAAGCCGCCGTAGCGCTTGTCCTTGGGCGGGCTGCCCCAGCGGAAGTGCTCCATCCGGTAGGGCCCCTCGTCCTTCTTCAGCGCCGACGGGGCCTCGGCCTCCGCCCCCAGGTCGTCCTCCAGGTCGGCGGGGGCCGCCTCGCCCTGGGCCGCGCCCTCGGGGCGGAGCGCCGGCTCCGGCCGCTCCCGCTTGAACTCCACGGGGAAGGCCTCGGGCGACTCGTCCTCGGCGCCGTTGGGGTACACCTTCACCGGGCGCCGCTTCTTGCCCACCGGCTTGCCCCAGCGGAAGTGCTCCATGGAGTAGGAGCGCTTGCCCTCGCGCGGGCCCGGCCCGGCGCCATCGCCGCGGGGCCCGAGGCCGCCGTCGCCCGCAGCCGCCGCCTCCTCCGTGCGTTTGGGGCCCGCGCCGGCCCCGCCGCTGTCGTTCCCGCGGCCGAAGCGGTCCCAGCGGAAGTGGCCCATGACGTACTTCCGGGGGTTCTCGGCCAGCAGCTGTTCCTCGCCGTTCCCGGGAAACACGGGCGTCTCGGCCGAGAGGTCGGGCTTGCAGGCCCGAATGCAGGCCTGCGGGAGAGCGAGCGCGTGAGTCCCCGAGCGCCCCGATGGCCCGCCCTGCACTGCGCCTGCGCCCTCCGTGCTGCGCATGCGCCCTCGGCCCTCTCCACGTGCCCGCCTCCCTGCGGGATGTTCTCCCTGCCCATCCCGTCCTCTGGGCATCCACGGGCATCTAAGACACACAGCCTGGGCATCGTCTCTTTTGTCCCCCGGACTCCTTAGTATTTCTGCCCCGTAACTACAACGCACACCCCATGAGCAGGGTCAACATCTTGCCGTTATATGCCTCATATATAGGCATTAATCAATCAATGGCAGGCGGGTGGTAGTTGTTGGCACTTAATAAATATTGAATAAATAAATATGGTTCAGTATGAATCTGGATGAGGCATTGGGCTGAAATTAGAAGGAGAATCTCCCCAGGTGTCAAAAGTAGAAATCTGACTTCCAGGGCCTGTATTTTCAGCAATGCTGCAACCTTACCCCAGTGATCTGCACACCTACCTCATGCCCTACCTCCCCCAGCCATCTCTTCCTACCCTCGCCCATCTGGCATTTTCTCTGGTTCCTTCAAGTCTCCTGGGCTGACCCTATGCTTTCTCCATTTGGCGAGCTTTGGAAGGGGTGGTTCATTTCCCTGTCACCTCATTCTGACTGGAGGGAGGGGGAGAAAGCCGGGGTTATCTCTGTTGCAGGGGTCATGGAGCTCCTGTCTCTGCTCTTTGAAACTAGACCAGTGGACTGTGGTCACGTTTATTTAGGGCAACGGCCTATAGCCTGCAGCCTTGAGCTTTCAGTTACTCAGAACTGCAAAGGAGGAAACAGAAGGCTCCCACCCACTCTATTGAGTTGGGAATTTTATGCTCCATGGTTTAGAATGATAACACAGCAGAATATTAATGGGAAAATAAAAATGACCTTATACTCCTCTGAACACATGAAACAGGAGGCTCAGAGATGTGGAAAGTCCTTGGCAAGGTTCTACAGCTCACTGGTGACAGAACTGGGACTAGAACCCATGGGTCTGACCATGACCAGTGCTCCTTCCCTCATGAGCTGTCAACGGGAGAGGCGTGCAGTGGGTATTTCCAATCCCGAGTCTCTTGGGTTCCTCTGAACTGAAACTCTCAGAATTCCCTGGGCTCTTTTTTCTATTTTATGTGCCACATGCAACTTGCTCTGTGCTTTTGAGAAAGTCTCTCTCTTATCTTAACTCAGTGTTTCCATTGGCAAAACACACTGAATGTAATGATATGCATCCCGCCTTCACCAGGCAGGTGCTGGCAGCAGGATGGAACTCAGTCACTGACACCAGCAGTGTGTCTTTTAGTCCTTGATTTGCTATCATTTCTCACTTGTGCTTCCCAAAATGTGCAAGTACGTGTGCATGCACACACACACACACACACACACACACACACACAGTGTTGACCTGGAGGGAATTCCAACCTGGCACAAAGGACCTTTACATGCTTCTGGAAAGGCTGCATCTCCCAGAAGAAGCATGAGACACTGGCACCAGTTAGAGGAAAATGGCACCTGGGTTTTCCTTCTCCCTCTAGAGATGATTTGAGGAACTGCCTAGCTGGCTTTGTAACTGGTAGTAGATAGAAAGGGAAGAAAAATGGAATGAAATGGCAAAGTATATGAGGAGGTTATTTTAAAAGGAATAACTTGGGGGCTAACAGAAAATATAGGCTCAATCGAGGAGCGGTTATTGTTATCACTATTATTAGTATTAATTTATCTTAATGGCAGTATCTCTAAATAGCTTACATCGAGTGAGGTCCCCATACAAGAAGCAGAGATAATTGAACAGAAATGGTGGACCAGACCCATCTCCCTGAAGCGCTTCCTCCCCTTCTTGGTCCAATGCTGACGTCGCCCTGGGGTCTGCTCCCGACCTGGGCTGAGTTACCCAGTTATCTCTGGGAATGAATTTCCCCTTGCCCATCGCGCTTTCCTTTGTGCTGTCCCAGCCCCGGCCCCAGTTCCATCTGATGCCCAAACCAAGATGACAGCTGTGGCCCACGTACCAGCAGGTTACTTTCCGAGGTGAGGTCCTGACACTGGCTGCTCTCCAGACACCAGCCACGCACTTCCATGAAGGCCTGAAGCAGCAGGGCAAGCAGGAGGGCCCCCGAGCGGCTGCAGCATGATCTAGGCATTTTCCAGGCAGGCAGAGGCTCTGCAGAGGCAAACAAGATTGGTGGGACCCCTGCAAGGAGCAGAACAATGTTGGCCACTCACCAGGAAGGACCTGGAGCCAACATTAACAACACAATCATTTGTGGACCTCAAGGCTTTTTAAGGACAGGAGCAGTTCAAAGAGAAGGTTGGTGTGCGGGGAGGTGGTGTGAGTTGTGCTAGAGATGAGGGGAATAGGACCTCGGCAAAACATGTGCAACTTCCCCTTTATCTCTTATTTAAAAAATCAGACCCCAAAGAAGGTTAGCACTGGAAGCTATTTTAGGGGTCATTTGGTTTAGCCTCTTATTTGAGTATTATTTTAATGGCAGTATCTCTAAATAGCTTAAAAGGAGTGAGGTCCCCATACAAGAAGACAGGAAGCAAAGATAATCAAGCAGAAATTGTGGACCAGATCCATTTCCCGGAAGTGCCTCCTCCCCTCCTTGGAGGATTATTTTTACTTCCTGTCTTCATGTATGGAAGCTTACTCCATTTAAGCTATTTAGAGATATTGCCATTAAAATAATACTAATAATAGTAATAACAATAATTGCTCCTCAACTGAGCCTACATTTTCAATCTTTTAGCTCCCAACTTATTCCTTTTAAAACAATCTCATATACTTAGCCTCTTATGTGAAGCCCAGAGAGACAGTAACTTGGGTTTGCATGACAAGGTAAGGCTACGTTCTGTTTAGAGCACAGAGCCTTCCTATGCCACCACTTTCATGCAGCCACTGTTCTAACACTCCAGATTCGAGGAGTAACTTGGGAAAGACAAGGGCTCAGAAACTCCTGCTCAAGGTGGTCTCTTCCCCTCCTCCCCCACCAAGATCCTACCATTCCTCAGAAACTCTATTTTCTGTGAATAGTAGGTTTACATAAAGGCAAATAAAACCGCTGGCCAATTTAGCCAAAACCTCAGCCAACCCAGTTTGTTGTCCTGAACACAAATCACACACGTGATCACTGTTTCCCAACCCCCTGCAACTTTGGAGAGATTTTTAAAGCAACCCCCATTCTTTTAAAAGTGAGTCATCTTCTGAACACACCACAAGTCAGACCTCTTGACTTCCGATTCTCTCAGATGTCGTCTGAAACAGCTGGAGTTGAACATGCTATAGGTGTAGAAGGGAAAGAGATGGACACACAGAGCGAAGGGAATGGCCTGCCATTGTGAACACCTACAAAAGATACTTCCAAGTATCTCTCTGCAGATGCTGAGGTCAAGAGGTCAGGGTATAGATGCTGCCTGATGCTGCCTTTGGCCCCTTGTGCCCAGTGCTTTCCCCGACCCTGTAGGTCTCCAGCTGCCAAGTCACCCAGGTTGGCCCCTTGAAGTGGCCCTAAATTCTGTCATCAGCTCACCGCCAACCCCTCCATCATTTTGTATTTCAGAAGATCTTCTCAACCAGCTGTTAGGAAGAAACCTAATTAGATGAGAAAAGTAATTTACATTAAGGTGAGGATGACTAATTGTTTGTCTCCCCTAATGGACATGTGCATTTTAAAACGTTTGCCTAAAAGGAACCTCTCATTTGTGGAGGCGTGGGCCAGATCTTTTTTTATAGGGAAGGCTTTGGAAGTGAAAGTTCTCCCTGGCTCTCATTGTCTACTTCAGAAAGCCGCTTCCTTCTCCCTGCCCCACCCCTACTTATTTTCCCAAAAGCAGAGCCAGCTCAGGGCTCCCTTCTGAACGGTGGCCAGGTACTGCCTGAATGTTTTCAGAGCAGCCATTAGATGGCGCTGGCAGTCAGTGAGCCGGCCCGTCAGCATCCCAGGCAACTGGGAGAGCGTTGGTCAACCTTGATGTCCACTGGTGAGCAGGGACAGGCTGCTCCTCTTACAGCCTTTTGATGCTCTAGTTCAAATATGAAGTCTAGACTTGGCAGACAAGACAATTTACACTAAAGCTCTGAGACCACACAACACACTTGTAAATGCTCAGATTTACAAGAAAAGCAGAAAAATGATAATCATATAATCACTGTGGCAAGTGTAAAATATCATATGAGTAGAAAGAGAAGTAAAATCAGATAGGTCTGACAGATCCCTCAACTTTATTTTAATTCTCCTCAAAATTGGCCATTCTAGAGAGATTTCCATTTTCTAAAAACCTGCCTCATGACTGCAGGCTTCTGAGAGCATTTTCTTACCTTCTGCCCCACCCGAGGCGTTGCACACATGGTCACTCCCACCCTCTCCAAGCTCCATTCCACTGCTAAAACATTAGATTTTTTCTTTTTGCTTGTAGGTAGTCTTAATTTTTCTACAGTGAATCAATATTGCCTTATGCCATTTTTTAAAAAGCAATATAGTAATGGGGAGATGTCAAGTATTGTGCTTTCTGTAAGTAGGGAGAGATTTTTGAAAGCCTTGGAAAAAATAAATAGAAGTCTGTGTTTTGTTCATCTTAAATTAGCTTTATAATAGAGTTACACTTGTTAGAAGCTCACATGTGCAGGTGAGTTCTCTGTGAGCTAAACAAGACGCCGTGTTCCTGTAAAGCTGCACACTGGCCATGCCTTTCTGTAAACGTTAGAGGTGCAGAGTTTTGTCCTTGCACCGAGATACATATGCGTCAAGTCCTAAAACAGAAGTGTCAATGGGTTATTGTCACTAAATAAGCCGTAATCTGAACATATCTTAACCATTGATAAATACACACTTTTACCCTCCTTGGCTCTTTCCTGCCAGTCTGTGAGCATCACTACCTCCCCGTTTAGACACCAAGAACTTGGGGGATCCAGGTGCCCTGTAGACTCTCCCTTGCCTGAACCTTGGCCAGCTCAAACGGCTGCTTCCGCCCTGCAGTCTAGGGTCTGGGGGACAGAGGTCCTCCACTCTGCGGTCCCTTTGAGCTCGCAGACAGGGTTGTTCAGCACCTCGGACAGCTCCCCG